AACTAGTGTAACATCGGAAGTCCTGAATAATATTGATGTAAAAGAAACGACTTTATCAAATATCCTGCATATTATTTATACATCGATCATTTGTGAGGGGATACCGGCAGCAGCAATTCCAGTTCTACAACAAGTCAACATTTTGAAGTGTTCTTTTCGAGATCTAATTCAAAAAATTTAAACAAGGGCTTGCACAGCTTAGATTGCTTGCTTTAAAGTATTACTTTTCTTTTTAATCATCTGTTTCAAGAATTCACAATGTTCACCACTGGTGTTGATATCATCATGTTATTACCGTAAGAATGTTACATTTTTCACTCAAAAAGTACATAAATCAGTAACTTCAGCTCATTCGCCTGAGTGTAGTACTGTCTATTTATGCCTCCACTAACAGTATCATCTTGCAAATGAATTAACAACACTGCTATACGGGCACTTCTTTCGAGCAATAATAAGAAAGTCTCTTATCATTATTTTATATCACTAAATTATGAGATATTTATTTCTTCTGGGAAAAGATGCAAACAGTGTTTTATAGATTTGCCTTGTTTTACTTTTATTACGAGCTCGGGGACTGATATCCAAGTGAATATACATACACCTGTCCATAAGTTTCAATTTCATTTCACAAATTGATGTAAAGTAGGCAAACAAAATTAGTTGAGGAGTTGAGGAATTTATAATTGTACAATTATTATTATTAAACAAACTTTAGTGTGCCAAATTATTGCGAAATTATACGCAATATTGTGTTTGCGAGTCACGCTGTTAGAATTCGCCTATGCCATTCCATAGCATTGATGAGCCACTGATTTAGCTTGAAAATAATTTTCATTCCAGAAATACGCAACTGGAAATCATCTGTCGCTGGGACAACTCAAACAGTTCTAGAAATGTTGTATTTTTATTTTGCAACTTACATTGCCTATTGTCTTGAAAATATACTATATTCCAGTGGCGGCGCGTGGTCATTTTGACAACCGGGGCAAGCTCCTGCGGGACCAAGTCACCCCCATCTATGGGGACGGATGAGTGCTGTAAGTTCTCCCATCATTTTATGAGTATAAAAACCATTCCATCGGTAACAACCAATCGGCAAAAGCGACAATTTTTAACGATAAGAAAGTGTCATTAAAACAGGTCCAAGTCAAGGGAATAATAAATATAGACATAGTTTATTTTGAAACCTCTTTCAAAAGGAAAGGCAATATTTACCCAGATAAATACAATGACATATTAACAGAAACTTCGGGAAAGCAGACAAAACCTAAAATGAGGTTTAAAACGTTACTATGAAGAAAGGAAAGCTAATGCAAAGATAAGGACATGCGTCGCTCACTCATAGATATATATGCTGCTAGACTTCTACTGCTTGAACATATATGCAACACGCCGCGGTTTCTTGGAAGCAAAATGCTCAATACCGCGCTGATTAAAGTCATGCATCCCAGAAATAACGTCTCTGTGAATGGATAAAACAGCCAAGAAATTTAATCTATCTTGCTTCATTGTGTTTCTGAGATACGTTTTAATACGCTTCAGCGTGCTGAATGATCGCTCTGTGCGGCGGAAGAAATAGGCGTCGTCAATATGATGTCCAGAAATTTTGCAGACGCCGCAAAGGTTACTAGAGTGTTATCTATGAGGAACCCATAGAGCGCGCAAGTTGATGTGATGTTCAAAAAAGTTTGATTGGTGTATATACATCGCAATTCATTTTCCAATTTACCCACGTTTATCATGGGGTAAAATTTGGAGACAGTAGCCAACAAATGGATGGGAAATTGACGTGCAAATTTTGAAAAAATTTTGGGGTTCATCAAAGAGAACGCGGCAAGGTGTTCAGTGCGCAGACGATCGCCTATTTGATTCACCAGAATGTCACAGCATTCCTTTGCAGGCAAAATCAAACGCTGCGTTGTTTGCCCGCGGCGTAAAGAAGCACTCCAAGTGTCGTCGTATTTTATTGTTTCCCGGATACGAGATACAGCATCGCAGAAGTCTGAAATACACGACTGCACAGACGCTCCATACATTAGCCTTGACTGCAATGCGCCCTATAATACATCCACGTGATAGAATATTGTGGAGAAAAAAGCGAGAAAAAATGAAAACTCACCATCTTCTAGCAGACGCTTTAGACCTGCCGCCACCCTCACAGAGCGTTCGTCCCAAACCGGAGAGCTCTGAATGCCATTGAAACACTCCATTGAGCCTGCCATTGAGCTCAGACCTAATTTCGGACACGCCCTGCACCACGCGTGATTGGAAGTTCCAACGTGTTGGTGCACAAGCTGGGAGACGGCGGCTACATATCTGGCGGAGGAGGTCACAGCGCTTCGGCGAAACGGAAAAAAATGAAGAAAACCCCGAAACATTTGCAAAAATATACGGACGAGAGGGGTATCAAGACACATATTTCTGATAACGAAGTTAAATTGGTGTGCATAACAATGTAAAAAATGCGCATGAGGAAAATCTTCTTTTATATAAACTTGAACACCATGTTTCGACCCACTCATGACTGCCGCGCCGTCATAAGTTTGAGCTATCAATTTTGACTTCGCGTTGTAAGGCTGTAACACTTCTTTCAGTACAGCCGATATCCCGCAAGCCGTGCGATCAACGATTGGTACAAAGCTGTGAAATCTCTCGGTAGGTTTACCATCTTTAACAAACCGAAAAATCACAGCCAGTTGGGAAACGCACGTGATGTCAGTTGTCTCGTCAGACTGAATCGAAAGGAACTGGCAATTCTCAATTTCCAGAGCCAAATGTTGTAAATAAATTTTATACATTGAGTCGAGCAAATCATTTTGGATATCCTTAGATGTCCCTTTCGAAACAGTTGCGGCATCAAGATGATCTCTCAATACTGTATCTAGGGATGCGGTGTATTCCACCATATCCAAAAATACCCCTCTATTAGAAGAGCCAGTCCGTTCATCGTGCCCACGGAGGGACAGCTCGTGACAACCAATGAACTTCAAAACATCTATCAATCGACCGAGAACATGGCGGTTTTTCTCGACGTTTTGATTGTGCCGACGAATAGAAACCGCGCGTCCTTCATCCAACTGTGCTGCAATAATAACATTTCCGAATGTTCGGTATTTTACTTCATTGTCCAGATGCTCCATAGAAGATTGATGATCCCTGGCACGCTCGGAAAGATGTTTAAGATCTCTAAAACCAAATTTACACCAACGTGACTCACGGGCGGTAGCAAAAAGTAGGCAATAAAAACAAAAAAGTGCATTTTTGTTCTCGCTGTAACACAACCATTCGTGTTTTTTATACCAAGTTTCTGCGCAGAATGTACGCCGACGCTTTCCTCCGTCATGGGATTGTTCCAGTGAACAATTTTTTGGTTGATAAGGCCCAAGACGTTGTACGTCTAATTTTTGTTCCAGCGGCAGCTGCGAAAACGGAGTGCGAAGTAGTGCATCAACCTTATTCATTATGAGGTCTAAGGCTAAGAAATGCGAAGCCGGAAAGAAGTGAGGAGCTCAAAAGGAATGTGGAAAATCGAAAGCAAATGGACTAAAGGTCTCTAACTGATTCAAATAGCGAAACAAGCGACAAAAACAGAGGCGAGGAAACTATCAACTCTTCAAGCAACGAACGAACGAGAAGGAATGCGTGAATATGTCAACACGTTGTTGTAAGAAACGTCGGCATTGTGTCGTCATAATTTCGGGGCTAGCCCCGATCGGCCCCGATGATTTAGTAAAAGAAACAGAAAACAAACGAGACAAACGCGGCGAGTGGAAGATAAAAGAGAGAATACGATATACAATGAGCAACCGGGGCAAAGTCGGCGTCGCCCCGTCGACGTTCGGCGAAGGCTTTGCGAGCGAAAAATGAACCATGTCGGGAGAATATGACTAGTGTAGACAGTCTGTGCAACCGATATTGAGGTATTTTTCGAATATTTTTTATTATACTGGAAAAACCCTATTGACGCGCCGCCACAGTATATTCCACGCGGTGAACATTTTGTTATGAAAAATAGATTACTTTGTTTAATTACTGCTAAAGTAATAAAAATAAAACTGGAATCACATCTAAACGCACTACCTTGCAAAATAAAGTGAAAAGAGATCATGCTCTTCATCTACATTTATTTTTCAAGCAGTTTTCGTAGGGATAAATTCTGGTTATTTTTCAAGAGGGCGGTATTGACGATTCTGGCTGTTTGTAGGCAGCATATATTCAGGTAGAAGCGACATAAGTTTTCCAAGATGTCCAGCATGCTAGTATCGTTTTGGGCAATACCGAATGATTCTATATTAAAATTTTCAAAAACTGTGGCTATAACACCTTCATGAGCATAGTCCAATCTAAATTCAATTTCGAGCAGCTTACATAGTTCAAGGACACAGGGCAATGGTACGGTTAAGCGTCCATATTCTGTTTCCTGCATTACTGCAATCATAGTCAGTTTTCAAACAGTCCGGTTTGGGATTCTTTGGCAGTCTTTCGGGTCTTGGCATCATTTTTGCATTTTTTGTAAAATAAACCCAGCAATGTATTTGGACCTCATCGTCATTCAATATGATAGAACTTGAATCTAGTAAATCTGGAAAACATAGGGAACAGGGGTGTAATATTAAGATATCGCATAATTGATTACCATGAATGTCAATCAAACGGTGTCAATACTTGAAATTAAAATCGATCGAGCGCCTGTTAAGCTGGTGCGCACAATGTATGAATCAGGTAGTGTTTCATTGCCCACATTCAAAACCAATATTGCTTAGAAAACTTAGTTGCGTTTTATAGCCTTATGTATGGATAAAAACCCAATTAAGCAATTTTTGCCAATAAGTCATATGGTCCGTCATGGTATTATGGTATCTAAACATACTCAAATTCAGACAAATATTAAGCACCGCACCTTTCGTTTTATCCATTTCTTTGGCTGTTAATCTATCAATTACTTTCCCAACAGACTGGAGGGTATAGTAAAGCTGGAATACTCTGTTCCAGTGTAGGGATTACGCGAACTGCATCACAGCTGTAGGATAACATTTGATCACTTGGGACTTTTCTTCAGCAACAATTGTAAGTATTTGACCATATTTGGTAAAATAGGGACAGTGGCTGCAATGATCTTCCGCTACAATTTTCTCCACACTAATATCTTCGCCTAAAAACGAAAAAATTCAAAATTGTTTGGACAGATTTATCCCATGGTGTTTAAAAAAAAAATTTCTTAAATAAAATCTGCCCCTCATGTTTAACTTGAGTTGTAGAAGTTGTATTAGTAATCATGGAATTTATGTAGGAGTCTATAATTATGTAAATATTACTTTGTTTGTGAATATGTTGAGCCAAAGATGCCATGATGGGAAATAACTTTTGACACGTTGAGCACCTTGAAATAAAACATAAGTTATTTTTTATAGATCACAGAATAAGTTGTTTATTGGCAAAAGTATTGTCATGAAAATATCACATTTAAGTATGTGTTATCTATAGAATAAAATCCAAAAAATATATTGATGATAAGATAATTGAATGCATGATGTCTGTCATACATCAACACATAGTAGTTCCCTGAATAGTCACCCGCTAAGGGAAACACACTTATAACTTGGGGCTCCCGAAGTATGCGAACCAAAAGTCGTTGGTCGTAGCTAGCGTTGCCAACTGGTTGAAGGAGATAGAGCGGTAGTTCGAGGATGGGAAAGTTGGGGAGATATGGAGATAGCTAGTGGGTCGAGGATAGGGAGGTTGAGGGAGATAGGGCAGTGAGTCGAGGATAGGAAAGTCGACGGAGGTCGGGCAGTGGGTCGAGGATAGGTAAGTAGATGGAGATAGGGCAGTGGGTCGAGAACAGTTTTCAAGTGAACGAATTGCTCGCGGAGGCCTTAAGTGTCTTTAACGGAGTCATGAGGATCCGCACGGAGCACTTTGAGAACCTAAAGCAGAGTGGTCCAAGGTTGTCCGCTTCGCTGGCCACAAAATTATATTTGCATTGTTCGCGGGCCACAATATTGCCAAGAATAGGTAAACAGTGCAATACAAAATAAACACTTTTATTGTTAAAACACATAGGCTACTTATCAGACATAGCCATTCAAGGCTAATGGAATCCGCATTAGATTTTCAGTTTTCTATTGTTAGCATATATTCCCGATCAAAAAGATAGAAAGCCTAATATAAATTTAGACTGTCAAGCACATCATTCAACTTAGCTAATTGCCTCAACTAGCCATAACACTAGTCAGGTCAGTGACATTGGTGATGTAACAATATGTGGAAAGATTTTTCTGATTAATTTTATTACAAAACAACACGAAATGCTATTTTTTGATTACTCTCCGAATGTGTCGCGGGCCACAGATAATGAAGCGGAGGGCCACATGTGGCTCGCGGGACTGTCGTTTGGACCACCCTGATCTAGTGAATGGTTGGCTACATTGATTTATTAAATAAAAGCCAAATTTTACTAAATTCTCCCGATTTGTTATCTAATTCAATAATACACGTCGCAGATATCCGAGCAATTTATGGAAATGTCAATATTGGAAATAAAATAAAAACTTGGATATACTAAAAATGTCACATTTTTCTGAATGATATGTTATTTTGTCTTAGTCGCGATCTTACATAAAGCTATTTAGGGATTGGTGCATTTGATATTTCTTATATTGAAACGAGTTGTTAGCGTGTGTTTCTTGCCTAAAATGGATAATATTTTTCTTTTATAACTATGTTAACATGAAACATTGTTTATTTACTGCTTAACTGCTAGTAGCTGCGCATATTGTAGAGACGGGAAACGCTCTACCACAATGTTTCCCAATCTCATTCTACAATAAATGCTCTTGTTATACGCGCATAAAAAATTAAATAGAAAAATACTATGCAAATTCAATTCTGCAATACCACAGACAATAGAATAATAAAGCTGTTCGCAGCATTTCGTGATTTCAGCATGAAAATGGATAATTCGAGGAATATGTATAAAGTCAGTGAAATAAAATTAAGGGCTTTGAATGTGGGTTGAAATATATTTGATATATCTACTAAACATAGGCTTACCATACGTCCCGCTTTAGGCGGGACAGTCCCGCTTTTTAGTGTCTTGTCCCGCCGTCCCGACAGTCAGTCAGCTAAATGTCCCGCTTTTGCGTTCAGCCATCCAGCATAATACACGAACATATTCTCGTTACTGTTGTTGCTGTGTAGCGCAACGCTAGCCTACTTACCAAAGGTGAATGCGTTATTTTGTTTGTTTCGTTGTTTTCCGCTAACATTGTTAGCGAAGTATCACATGTAAAATCAATTCTTATTGGGCTTGTTCGGACGTTCACGTGAATGTAACATTGAGCGACGTCTTTTTGAAGGTTTTTATCTACAGAAAAGCATGCTTGGGCGAATAAGTAAATTCTCAATGCTTGAAAACGGCAGACTATCTCATTATTCTGTATTTCTTTTGCTGTACAAAAAAAATCTAAATTCGGATCATTTGTATCGTTAGCGTCTATTTCTTTCTATTTTTCGAACTGAACCCGATATTTATACAGAGAATAATATGCGCATGAACTCTCGATGACAATATGGTCAATGAAGACAACCGGGATGAATTTAAATGTAGGCCGATGTAAAAAAATCGGAAACTGTAAAGTTACAGGGTTACAGCTAAGGGGTCGTGTCTTTGGAGGCGTCCCGCTTTGAAGTCAAAAAAATATGGTAACCCTAACTTAACACCTCACTCTAGGAAAGAAATGCGAGCAAAAATTACATACATACTATTAGTTTCAGGACACGATAAATAGTTTATCCAATAATTTTCTGAGATGTTGAAATGGTGTACAAAATTGATATCTTTAAAAAAAAAAAAAGAGGCAAACTGAGGTCGAAACGAAAATTGAAGAATCCAACTATATATTATAATAGCAAATTTGAGAAAGGTTGTTTGCTAGTATTCTTCGTTTTCCAGCGCCAGAAGTCGCCATTTTTTAAGATTATGAGAGTCCAACTTCAGCTTCAATGAGTGAAAATCACCTTACCTACCTTGCCTATTACCTATAATATTAGTTCTGCACGTCAGTGGCGGCGCGTGGTCATTTTGACAACCGGGGCAAGCTACTGCGGGACCAAGTCACCCCCATCTACGGGGACAGGATGAGCGCTGTAAGTTCTCCCATCATTTTATGAGTATAAAAACCATTCCATCGGTAACAACCAATCGGCAAAAGCGACAATTTTTAACGATAAGAAAGTGTCTTGTAAACCGGTCCAAGTCAAGGGATTAATAAATATAGACATAGTTTATTTTGAAACCTCTTTCAAAAGGAAAGGCAATATTTACCCAGATAAATACAATGACATATTAACAGAAACTTCGGGAAAGCAGACAAAACCTAAAAAAAGGTTTAAAACGTTACTATGAAGAAAGGAAAGCTAATGCAAAGATAAGGACATGCGTCGCTCACTCATAGATATGTATGCTGCTAGACTTCTACTGCTGGAACATATATGCAACACGCCGCGGTTTCTTGGAAGCAAATTGCTCAATAACGCGCTGATTAAAGTCATGCATCCCAGAAATAACGTCTCTGTGAATGGATAAAACAGCCAAGGAATTTAATCTATCTTGCTTCATTGTGTTTCTGAGATACGTTTTAATACGCTTCAGCGTGCTAAATGTTCGCTCTGCGTCGGCGGAAGAAATAGGCGTCGTCAAAATGATGTCCAGAAATTTTGCAGACGCCGCAAAGGTAGTTACTAGAGTGTTATCTATGAGGAACCCATAGAGCGCGCAAGTTGATGTGATGTTCAAAAAAGTTTGATTGGTGTATATACATCGCAATTCATTTTCCAATTTACCCACGTTTATCATGGGGTAAAATTTGGAGACAGTAGCCAACAAATGGATGGGAAATTGACGTGCAAATTTTAAAAAAAATTTTGGGGTTCATCAAAGAGAACGCGGCAAGGTGTTCAGTGCGCAGACGATCGCCTATTTGATTCACCAGAATGTCACAGCATTCCTTTGCAGACAAAATCAAACGCTGCGTTGTTTGCCCGCGGCGTAAAGAAGCACTCCATGTGTCGTCGTATTTTATTGTTTCCCGGACACGAGATACAGCATCGAAGAAGTCTGAAATACACGACTGCACAGACGCTCCATCCATTAGCCTTGACTGCAATGCGCCGTATAATACATCCACGTGATAGAATATTGTGGAGAAAAAAGCGAGAAAAAATGAAAACTCACCATCTTCTAGCAGACGCTTTAGACCTGCCGCCTCCCTCCAGAGCGTTCGTCCCAAACCGGAGAGCTCTGATTGCCATTGAAACACTCAATGAGCTCAGACCTAATTTCGGACACGCCCTGCACCACGCGTGATTGGAAGTTCCAACGTGTTGGTGCACAAGCTGGGAGACGGCGGCTACATATCTGGCGAAGGAGGTCAGAGCGCTTCGGCGAAACGGAAAAAAATGAAGAAAACCCCGAAACATTTGCAAAAAATATACGGACGAGAGGGGTATCAAGACACATATTTTTAATAACGAGGTTAAATTGGTGTGCATAACAATGTAAAAAATGCGCATGAGGAAAATCTTCTTTTATATAAACTTGAACACCATGTTTCGACCCACTCATGACTGCCGCGCCGTCATAAGTTCGAGCTATCAATTTTGACTTCGCGTTGTAAGGCTATAACACTTCTTTCAGTACAGCCGATATCCCGCAAGCCGTGCGATCAACGATTGGTACAAAGCTGTGAAATCTCTCGGTAGGTTTACCATATTTCACAAACCGAAAAATCACAGCCTGTTGGGAAACGCACGTGATGTCAGTTGTCTCGTCAGACTGAATCGAAAGGAACTGGCAATTCTCAATTTCCAGAGCCAAATGTTGTAAATAAATTTTATACATTGAGTCGAGCAAATCATTTTGGATATCCTTAGATGTCCCTTTCGAAACAGTTGCGGCATCAAGATGATCTCTCAATACTGTATCTAGGGATGCGGTGTATTCCACCATATCCAAAAATACCCCTCTATTAGAAGAGCCAGCCCGTTCATCGTGCCCACGGAGAGACAGCTCGTGACAACCAATGAACTTCAAAACATCTATCAATCGACCGAGAACATAGCGGTTTTTCTCGACGTTTTGGTTGTGCCGACGAATAGAAACCGCGCGTCCTTCATCCAACTGTGCTGCAATATTAACATTTCCGAATGTTCGGTATTTTACTGCATTGTCCAGATGCTCCATAGAAGATTGATGATCCCTGGCACGCTCGGAAAGATGTTTAAGATCTCTAAAATCAAATTTACACCAACGTGAGTCACGGGCGGTAGCAAAAAGTAGGCAATAAAAACAAAAAAGTGCATTTTTGTTCTCGCTGTAACACAACCATTCGTGTTTTTTATACCAAGTTTCTGCGCAGAATGTACGCCGACGCTTTCCTCCGTCATGGGATTGTTCCAGTGAACAATTTTTTGGTTGATAAGGCCCAAGACGTTGTACGTCTAATTTTTGTTCCAGCGGCAGCTGCGAAAACGGAGTGCGAAGTAGTGCATCAACCTTATTCATTATGAGGTCTAAGGCTAAGAAATGCGAAGCCGGAAAGAAGTGAGGAGCTCAAAAGGAATGTGGAAAATCGAAAGCAAATGGACTAAAGGTCTCTAACTGATTCAAATAGCGAAACAAGCGACAAAAACAAAGGCGAGGAAACTATCAACTCTTCAAGCAACGAACGAACGAGAAGGAATGCGTGAATATGTCAACACGTTGTTGTAAGAAACGTCGGCATTGTGTCGTCATAATTTCGGGGCTAGCCCCGATCGGCCCCGATGATTTAGTAAAAGAAACAGAAAACAAACGAGACAAACGCGGCGAGTGGAAGATAAAAGAGAGAATACGATATACAATGAGCAACCGGGGCAAAATCGGCGTCGCCCCGTCGACGTTCGGCGAAGGCTTTGCGAGCGAAAAATGAACCATGTCGGGAGAATATGGCTAGTGTAGACAGTCTGTGCAACCGATATTGAGGTATTTTCGAATATTTGTTATTATACCGAAAAAACAACCGGGGCATTGCCCCGGTTGGCCCTATTGACGCGCCGCCACTGCTGCACGTTATATATTTGGTAGATTTCTATGGTATGTTTCTGAGTAATCTATCTAGTGGTGAATATAGCCAAGTATTTGAAGTATTACAAATCACCACCCTGACAACAAATGAAATTATGGTATCTTTTTACATAAAACGTACATGTCGACATTGGGTTGTGAAAGGCATAAAACTGAGTACGGATATAGTCAAATGCACAGTGATAAAAATTATTTGTATGCAAAGTGGTATAAGGGTTATAGACATATTGCTATAACTTGGAAAGTTTGAAATAAAAAACACAATGTTCGTATTAGTGAGTGCTTGCATGAATGATAAACTATTTTTGTTGAATACCTGGTGTGTGCAATTTGGGAATTTTCATTAGATAATTAAAAACGAAAGCAATAGTACAGCGTTAACCAGGCAATAATTTCTCTGTTAAATTTCCATTCATAACACAATCTATCATACATGTTTATTTATATTGTTTGAACATAGCAATGTACTTGCTTAGTTGCGATTCATAATGTAAGATCTCAGCGTTTCATTTTGTAATATGAATATCATCACGAATTTATTCAATCAGGGTTTAAAAACCCCTAAAAATAAAAATTTCTCAAATACTCAAATCAAATCATATTTAAATATTTTTTTGCATTTGCATTGTATAAAATTGGAGCATAGATTTGCCAATTCAGAAGGTATTACATGTATAAACCAGAACCAAATATTTGCTTGCTAAAATATATTAAAACGGTAATACCCTGAGTGTCATGATTAAATGTCTCCGCGAGCAGCGAATATCGTAAAATTGGAACAATTATTTTTATTGAAATGGATGGAAATTTTGATTTTTGTAGTTGTTTTTATTTTACTCGTGATTTAAACTTGGCAGAATATATTCACATTATAATTGATGGACAAGTAACAATACATATGTTTATAATGTAAATAACAATTTTATTGGATGAGGCAGTATATTTTAACAATTCAATAAAGAATTAACATGCCTATGCGAAAAAGAATTTAACGTATTCCGAGGCTGTATGAAATAAACCAAAGAGCCTTTATTAAGGTGTCTCAACCAGCAAGACGCGGTTCAAAATGCAAATCTTTCGGCTATTCGAATCGGACCGTATCTAATTCTTCATTATAGGGGCCAATTAATTCGCATTTGGGAAGGATTCTTTTCATTCACTTTAAGCATCTTCCATCATTTGTTTATATTTGCACCTGTCTATATACAAAAAGCACTGTGGCTATATAATAGGTGCTCCAGAAGTATGTGCACCAAGATCTCGCACAACCTGAATTATAACCGTTACAGACATACTATTTTCAGGTTGGCGACATCTTGGTGCACATACTTCTGGTGCTCCTATAATAAACAATATGAATATCATGTTCGGTTACTTTCCACCGGTGGAGGAGCAATACCACGTGATATCGAATACTTTGTGATTACAAACTAACCTAAAAGACACAGTCACTGGAGTATATTTAGCCATACTGTGAAATTTATTTTATAAAAATATCGGACCTCAATTATTTTGAAGTTTTGTATACGGATCTTTAGTAAAAATGAAAGAGTAGCTCTGCCTCATAGATGCATTCATCCTTTTTTAAACTGACGGAATGTTCGTTGTTCAGCTTTCTGCCGTTTTTTTATTTTTTTATTTATTTAACAATTAATTGTATATTGATATAAACCAATTTTGAAATTTTCGGTGTTGGTTCATAATATCTTTCCAATAAAACGGTTCAATTTTGTATAATATTCCACATTATATAGTTTTCTATAATAGGTTATTTTTAATCGAGCCAGGCACAAAAACAACCATTCATTTACGACAATGAAGGTACGTTGAACTGCATTCTCCCTTCTCTAAAATGACAAAGTTCATCGAAGCCTAATGGTAATTGAAAAAATAGAAACATAATTTCTATTAACCGTTTGTCTAGAAACGAATGGCATTTTTATTTTAATATATTGATTTAAGCAAAGAGGAAATATTCAAAAAAATTTTCAAAGTTACTAGTGAACATGAAATGATTGAAACCTCAAGCTTGTAGTTGTAATTATGAATGACGGAATATATTATATATGTTTTATAATGAAAATTGGGTACTACCGAAGTGTGTGAACCAAGATGGCGGACTCCGGAACGTAATACGTGTACCAGGTTAGGGTCAAGTCATAACTTTATTCCAATTTACCGTATTTTAGTTCTAAATCAGGTTCGGAGACTAGCCAAGTGACTCCCGTAGTATTTGTACCTGAAATTAGGGCTTAACCCTCGCCTGGTACACACACTACGTTTCGGTGTCCGCCATTTAGGTTCACATACTTCGGGAGTACCGAACATTGGGCGCTCCAGAAGTATGTGCACAAGATGTCACACAACTTGAACCCTAACCGATACACACATACTATGTTCAGGTTTGGCATCATCTTGGTGCACATACTTCTGGAACTCCGAAAACCGTAGTTTGAACAGACAGAAGGTAACGTAAATCGGATTAGTTATCAACAAGCAAATATTGAAAAATGCGGTTTATCAGACTGACTACAGCGGTTCATTCCTTATTTCGTTAAACAAGATTCCGTGTCAAACTAAATCTGCATAGAAGGAACTCTATACGTATTTGATAATTTGGAACAGTCTTTAATAACAGGTAAAACGGTTTATCACAACAACGCGAAAATCTTGAATAAATTGTATACTAAGTCAAACCAGCAAAAATCCCTTTTCACCTGAATTAAAAAGCATCTCAAGAATGAATGAATTGTGTCCATGTCAAACCCTATTATTCATTGTTATTATGCATTATTTTAAAGCATATAAAGGTTCGTCATAAAAGTATGTATAGAAGGTGCTGAGTTGAGTTTTTTTAATGATTTCTCCGATGATCTTTCCAAACTTTTGTTTCTTGTTACGTCTTTTAACTGAAATGAAAATACTATATATTGATACAGTATTTGACTAATTGGCATCAAATCCACAAAAAATATTTGCCGGTTGTATAACTTACTGGTTTAATTCTTGGTATACAAATGTGTTCAAAATCAAATGAGTGATGGTTGAAAATATCCGCTATTTTTAATTATTTATTTGCATTTGTGTTTTTCATATTAACCTTAAGTCCTGAAGGGAAAACGAATTGAATGGAATGATCAAAAAGCTTACACTAACACACTACATATGTATACATTTTATTATGTAATAAATATGTCAGCAAATGCCGCTTGAAGTAGGATATCACAAATATATATCAAAATTCATAATATTGCCGCAACTCGTAGTGTTATTTTTGGAATTAAAAAGACTAATGGATAGCCGTACCTTTGCAAAGTGATTTAGATAATTACAAAACCACATTTTGTGTAGATAAAATAAAATGTAATTCTAACCTTTACATATAATAAAAATGTTATTCTTCAGTTTTTGCTTGAATCCAAGGAATGTATCTTGCAACATTTGTGTAATATCCTGGATAGCCTGAACCACATCCATAACCAAAGCTTACTATTCCTATTTGAACCCCAGCATGACATTCCAGTCTCAACATTTTTTCACCTGGTAGTATTGACATTTGTAACAGTTAGGTCACAGCAACCATATAATTTGAATAAGCGATTTTTTGTTTTGACTATTTATTGTCATTCCATTATGGTAAACATCTCCATTTAGTCAAACTCTGCTTAGCAAATCTATTGACATAAACATCGCAATAAAAATCTTCACATTTTATAGGCTGAACCGATAAGACTTTCGATGCTCGTTTTACGTGAGAGAGCCCGCAGAATAAAAGAGCTTTCAACAGACATTATCACACATAACGCTGTCTTGCAATCTTTGATTGTTACGAAATAATTGTTTGGGTGTTTTAGCACTAAATAGCCTACAGATAGAGGCAAAATTCAACAAATTAATTGTAAGTGAATGGTCAAACAAATCAAAACATAATTAGTATCAGTCTGCTAGCATCACCTATATTTGAATCTTCAGAAAATGGCCTTTTGCGAGGCTTTCTACTCAGAAGTGGATCCACCAGGGCAATTCTTTTAATTTTTTTCATGTTATATTGGCACCTTGAGTCTTCTTTGAATCATTCGTTTCTAGTCAAATTTTGGAAAATTTAAAAAACACATACCACATGGGTTTTCTTGGACCAATATTGGCGAGCATATAAAACCAACGAACTGTTTTGTTGATGTTAGTACACTGTACAAAAATATAAATGATTTGGTACTTGTCAATGAATTTTAACATTTTTGTGACAATGTACAAGAAACGTGATTTGTGGGAATTTTTTTTTTTATGTATTTAGGATCCACCCCTTAAAGTTTGTGAGCTTGTCCATCTTTATATATCTCGTTTCCCACAGCGAACTATATAACCCACCCCTGTGACGGCCATAAACTCCGCTGAAATGCTCAAATTAAACTTATGAAGTTGGTAATGGTAAATCATGGGAGAAGATCTAGGACTGTTGCTTATTCTTTAGTGAAAGATTTTAAAGACACACTAAAAATAAGATCCAATCCGTGTTTAAGTTCGGTTGTTCCTTGTATTTTAAAAACAATTTGTTTACCTCCCTCACTACTGGACCGCCGCTGTCTCCTTTACAAGCATCAATTATTTTATTTGGGTCTCCAGATTTGCAACAAATCATATTATCTGAAAACTTCAAGGCGTTCAGACCTTCTGCAATTCTTATTTCTTCTACCTTTTGTTTACAGCTAGAGTATAAGGAAGAGTGTAAAAAATTGCGTTCAAATTTAATCAGTTTGATTAGATATACTCCCAATTGGTTTTATATCCATGAAGAGAAGACATCAGGAATGTCAAATATTAAACCAATATTTCCCACTTCTATAACTAGTCGGCTCTGGTTGAATTTAGTTGAAATAAAACAACTTTGCATTAATACCCCCCATCGAATAGTCGTGCGAACGTTTTTAAGGGTCTTTACTACAAGAATAATAAATTTCATAATGTTGATCAGTAATTTGGGCTTGTCATGATGCACTTGTTAAGAGTCAATACTGTTTTCTATGAGACCATATAACGCATCAGAAATGAACTCAAGTTCTCTAAATTACTCCATAAAATGCTGTTTTAGTTTACAACCACAAATATCATTGCAATGATTTCGAATCGAAACTTTCTATACTTGCTATACCTCGATTTGCTGACGTACTGTATAAATATCTAAGACGTCATATCGGAGTGGCCAATTGACAACTGTACCAATCGCGTAGTTTTATTAAAATTTACCAAGACCGAAGATATTGGATATGGGGGAAAATATAGAATATAGAATATTTCTTCCATTGTGTTGGCAGCCGTTTTTGTAGTGTACAACTTACGTTCTTTTGCTTTCAATCTGCAGTAAAGACTTTTGCAGATATTTTAGTGGGTTAAACGGTTGTTTAGTTGTATTATTGCTGATATCCAGATGTCCAAATCCAGTTACGACAACTTTCGCGTCATTGTTGAGTAGTAGTTCTTCTATTAAATAACATAAATTAAGTCATTCCGTACATCCCTAATATCATATTAATCATATCTACGTCTCTGATGGGTAGTTTAAGTGTTATTTGGTTTGTCATATTTCCTGATGAAAGTCGAGGTTTAGGTCAATTTTTTATGGTAACAGCAGGGTTCATTTGCTCATTGATTAAATTGGATATGGTTACTTGAAAATAAGGTTTACTCCACGGTAAATTTAATTAACAAACCTTCTTTCAAACATATCTGTGCTTCGTCCATTGCATCGTTTATCAATGATATTCCATTTCCATCCACCAATTGCTCTTCTTTCAAGCATGTTCTAGTGCAAGGTAAACATATGGGACGAATGTAGTATCCAAATGTTAACTTATCAACACCTATGGCCTGCATATTCGAATCAAACTCTGATCCAATTTTTATCTGAAAAGTGAAATGTTTTTAATGATAGAACGCGCCGTGGGGGTTAAGTCAGTTGTAATTGCATTCCAACAAAACTTATACAATATATTTAAAAGTTATATCGAATTTATTCACTGCTTTGGGATTATTTGCTACAGAATGACTGCACAATTGTTTCTGTCAGGAAATCAAACACTTACCAAAGCAATGTCGTTTTCAAAATTATTACCCTCATCATTTGAATATTCTTCGTGCGGAATGTATTCCCCGATTGAATACATTTTAATGGTAGAACTGATTTTCTCATAGCGAGTGGTAGGTCGATTGAATATCCCTGAAAGAATAAAATTTTTTGGTTAAATATAAAATCGAATATGAAAGGTAATTTTTGAATGGCAACCTACGAAAACTAAATTAATATAAAAATGAAAAAAAATCCATCATCAAGGAAATAATCAACCTTGAATTTTATCAACCACAACAAAGTAATCAACAAAACATGAGTAAATATTGCAGTCCAAATCGCATTGTATTGACTTCAGCCTTCTATGAAGTACTGAAATAAAATTTGAAGAGTTTGACCCAGAAGTTGTAACAAAAGGCGTTTTCCTTAATACCATATCGACTACAGGGCACCAATCAGAGTGAAATGATCGATTTGCCCATTTCGTTGTCAACATAATTAACAATCTTTCATTGGGATGACTCAAGAAACACGTGTGGCTGGCTATGCTTTGTATTGTGTAAAAAGCAATTTTGTTGTTGGAAACGAATTGGACCTAAGAATTATGTTCCTAAATTTTTTAACACCAACTTACTTTGTTTTACTTACTATACTAGACTAAAAATGCAAGTATGTCCTTCAAAGCTTTTACCTCATTTTTTTCCAATTTTTGCTTGATGTTTTATCGGAAATATTGATGATTTAAAAAAAAAACGTTTCACGTCCTTAATTTTATGCTGATTAGTTTGTGCTTGCCTTCTGGCTGCGTATGATTATGTATATATAAAATATCGTGTTTCGAGTATTTCTTCGTTCATTCTTTGTTATGGCACTTTATATGCATGTTATTTTTTATTAAAATTTGTTTGTCCGAACAAATATTACTTGTTTCCGAAAACAAGTTGGTTTGGTTTTGGACCAGAAAAGCAGTGTAAAAAGCACGATAAGTTATTGTAAAATATCCTACCCACAAATACAACATATTTCTCCAACCAGCTAGGGTACTCAAAATTTTTATTAAGTAGGTTAGCTGCCGTTAATATCCATTTTTCATTCAAAATTGAACCTCCACCAACCAGTTGTCTATCCGCTAAACTCTAAAATAAAAATCAAAGATTTCAAGCCATTGAAAATCAAATTAAATTTTTATACAACTCGTCACAATCGTAAAATAAATTACGTTTTAAACAATCCTCCGAAGTCGAACCACAAAATCAATTTATTTTAATATTTAACCACTGCGGTTGGCCAAAATTGCAATGAAGTATTACTTCAAAGGAGAATCGTAACTAATGAAAAATTAATTTTTTTGTGCAATTTCAAAATGAATCATGTTAAGAAGCATTGGGAAAAGTTAAGAAGGATTAGATTATTCGTAACCTGATCTCCAATCGTCTTGCTCAACACTTTGGATCATGTTTTCTATTATTTTCAATATCATTTTAAACGTGTAGGAACTTACAACAACTGAAATATTATACGTCGGGAGTTCTGGTTATAATTTTGTTACAACTGACATTGGTATTTCAATATATTTAGCAATATTTTTTACAAAATAACTTTGTTTTACCCCTTCCGGTGTTTGTGATTTGTGGGTGAGTAAAACTTGCCATGGCCATGCATTTTCTGCGGCGTCTTCTCCGCCAGTTGATCTGGCTAAGCTAGCTTGCTGTTTTATACTTCCAAAGTTACCAGCTTGGCCGCATTTTGCAAAATCTGTGAATTCGTGAAATTTTATGAGGTTTTAAATTATACAGTAACAAGGATTTGTAACATTGATCGAAACAACTTCATTTTATTTTATAAAACCTTGATAACAACTGATACGGCTACGGCTTGTATATGGCTACACACATGCATAGGATCATATAGTTTACAGTTTTAATAAATTGCTTATCTTTAGTTCATTTTGCGACTATTCGAAACCTTACTGGCTATAAAAATAATTTAATTTGTACCAAATATTACGTCGGTAGCTTTATCAAGGTAACTCGAAAGTTGATAAATATCTTCTATATAAATATAGTTTTCTCCATTTTCTCCAGATGAGAGTCCAAGCAATTCTGTATGATATTCAACATGGCAATTCTTGCAAGCTGTTATGCTGTAAAACTTAGCAAACGAAATTATATTTTTATAACGGTCTGATTCGATATTTATTAGAATATTAAATGGAAATCATGGAGAGAGTTTGAACATGCCGCGAAAAAGAATTGAACGATGGCACAATCATGTTCATTTCATGAATGACTATCATGGTATTACTAAACGATTTTGTCGTAATATATTTGTGATAATAAAAAGCCGTGTGTTGGATGTATGTTAGGAAACTACGATAATAAGTTTCGGGTTGATCTGAATTTTGGCAAACTTTTTAAATTTTATACCGTTTCTAGTCGTTTGTTAGATTGGGGAAACTACATGAAACAAGTACATCGTATTCCATTCATCTGCAAACAAAATTTGAAAATTACTAATCCACAAATTTTTTTTTTTTTTAGGGCCTCCCAATCAGATAAATGTATTAATATTAAGTTTCACTGAATATTGTATGAACATTACAGACTCTATTAGAATCAGCAAAACAACTACAATGTATTGCATACTTCAATATTCGGTCTGAATTGCCTTTCTATTTGTTTTCTTTTTTGGGCGGAATCATATCCTTCTGTGTAATTTCCTGAAAAAATAGCATATTTATACATACATTTATTGTAAATTAGTTTCATCGTAAAATCACACATAATATTATTTTTATTTTAGCAACAAGTCACAAAAGATATTTTATTCTGTAAACTGAGATTATTCCTTTAATATATGCCATTACTTAAGGTTACTCTTTTCAATGAATGTAGCCTATGTTTAATGATTGCCTTGTCTCTTTAAGCATTCTGAGTTTCGACTTCGAACTTTTAATCTTTCTCCCTAAAACCTAAACCTAGGAAATTATCTTCTTGCCTTATGCATTATAACAGGGATGGCGAACCACTGACCCGCGGGCCACAAAGTGACCCACCGCGATTTATTTGTGACCCGCCAAGGCACGAATAAAATAAAAATAAAAAGCTAACATTTCAGTGATAAAATTGATAAAACCGGCCCTAAATTAATTTAACAATACCTAAACTATTATAATGTACCGTCAGTTGGGCAGTCGGAGCTGCGATCGCTCATATTCAAATTGTTAATTCCTGTGCTGATATGGTAATTTTCAAAACCCCTAATGTCCGACGCATGTCTGCATCGTTGTGTACCGTTATTCAGCTATTGGCTCTGAGAACCATGCAATTGATCTGTTCATTTCTTGCAACGTCTCGTTTCTTTCGGAAGTGCATCTGCAGACTGTTTAAGGGGTTAGACGAGCAGCAAATGCTACTTTGCATTTTATTAGTTTCTCGCCTACAATGCCGTTGAGAAAACAAAATCTTCCAGACTTGAAATAAAAACCTAGAAATCTGAAATAGCAATAGGGCAGTGTAAAAGTGCCTTAATGTGCTTGAAAGCTGATTGAAAAATATAAAACTATCAGAGTGGAACACCCTTCAAACTCTTTGTAACCGTAAAATACTTTGCCGCATCATTCTAAACGTTTTTGGTAATTCATATGCGCGTTTCCGTACTCTAATTTCATACAATCGAGTGCCATAAAAATTCCTGATCGAAGTACTGCATAAGTAAAGCACAAAACTACACCAACACCAACAGAAGCTTATAAAACTTCATGAGCTTCTTATAGATAAAAAAAAATGATTGAATGTCCGTGACCCACTCACTTCTGTTCCGCGAAAAAAACATAATTTTTAACCCATTCATTGAAAAAGGTTTCGCCATCCCTGCCCTATAACCTCATCACTTTACCGTCGGTGAAAATGAAAACATGTCTTATATTTTCATTGTTTTTTTCTTGAATGTTCATCCATGAAATCACTCTTTTAAGTTGCGACAAGGCATAGGAGAATGCATTATTGGATCGTTTTTTCTTCTCGTAATTGTTGCGAGCAGCTGAAAGTTATATATATATATATTAAATTTTATTATACTGACGAGTTTTGTTAAAATTTTTGGACTAGGTTCTTGCAGCAGGAACAAATCGTTCAGACTTGCTAACATATTAGATGCGTTTGGTTAGTAATATGAGCTCAAAGCCAACAATTAAGTTGAACAGACCGAATCGATCGTTCATCAACAAAAAAGCAACATTTATGATATGTACCTTCTTGGTAAACTCGGTCTAAAGTTTCTAATATCTGCTTTGTACTTTTCGGTCTAGTTGCACTTTCAGAAATATCTAACATCGTCTCATTTTCAGATTCAAAAAGCATTATTCCAAAATGTATTTTTCCATTGAATCTTTCCATCTTAATTAAAATGATTCAAATTCGAGAAAAATATGTTTTCCAATACAGTGACTGACAACGATGGTTAATCTTCCTTTGGAGGAGAGAGTAAAAAGAGTATATATATAATCCATTTTAATGAAAATTCAAGAAACTCGATTCTTCCTAAAGTTGCATTTTTCCAAGGAGCCGCGTTAGGGGTCACGCCACGGAATGTACGATGTATAACTTGGATAGGAGTTTACAGCGTGATGTCATCTTTTTTGAGCATCAAAAACACTAATTAGTTTTTGATTATATTTTAACTAGCGACTAACTCTTTAAAACGCTTTGTTATGAATTTTGGTTGATATGCATAATGCAAATTGATTCATTGCAGTCACATTTTATTATTGTCGTTCAACATTAGCCATCAGGTCCTAATTAACTTTGAATGAAAATCTTGTCAAAAATTCCTGGCATTAAAATCTAACTGTATATTATAGCGCTGCTAAATAATTTAGTCTACAATTGAAGTTTACTTTAATTTACCCGTTTAACAAGTTGCTTTGCAAATTCTATTTCGTCTTTGACATCTTTCGATCGTTTCAGAACGCTTTCTGAAACATCGAACATGAAGTAAATTTCATGCGCTTCAGTCGCTTCTGCGTTGATGATCACGCCTCCAGCAGTACGAGGATATCTAGGATCTATAATGATGAAACAAGCTCTTACTATGAAAGCTGTTGCAAATTTCACGACAAATGTGTACGACTGATATATAAGATTCATACCAACACATTGCAAGGTGTGGGCTGACCACATGCCTTTTTCAACACATTCTGGAGGTTCACCCGTGAGCAATAATCCATCCTCGCATGTGTATTCAACCACGTCATTCAAGACAGGAAGTGTCTTATTCGACACTGGCAACATTCTTCCGTTGGACGGTCTCGAATACCGATGATATATTGTATGCCTTACGTAGGGGACAGGATTTCGGCATGACATATCTATAAAAATAATGTCAGGCTGTACTGTTGTATTGGTATTGAGTTATTTTTTAATTTTATTGATTTTTTATTATTCAAATCTGATACTCTGGGTATAACACGATGTTTTGCTGATATACCATATCATCAGATACAATAAATATGGCGTCACGCAGTGTAAACTCAGGCCACAAATTTGTACCACAGTATAAATATGTGAATTATGTAAGGATTGAGCAAAATCTTAGTTGGTCTAGTACTCTAGGCTAGTGTATTAACACTGTAAAAATGGTGCAAATGTAAATATGAATTTCACGCTATAAAAAGCTTTCATTATTTTCAATTCTTAAGATTTAATCATCACTCCATCCATTATTACAAATTTAAACTCAAACTGTAAACTCAAACAATTGGAAAAGTTATCAAGATCAACACTTCCGCTTTGTGTTACATTATTACTGTATTAATTTATTTATATTATGTGTACCTACGCACTCCGGAACATCACTGGTCCAACGTCGATGCCCACCGCATCTCGGTAGAGGGCCAACTAAACGTCGTCCACGTTCACATGTGTAAGTTATCATGTCCCACAAGTAATAAGGAGGTCTTACTTGATCGACAATTGCTAGACGCTTGAAACCGTTTGCGGTTATAATTGTTCGCCTTATATTCCGGTACACCGCGTGTTCTACAGTTGGTGGTTCGTCTTCACATACTGAATCTGCCGAAATTTAAAACATGCATATAATAAACTTTTGTCTACAAGCTATGACATCACACTTCACGGTAGTATTTACCAAAAGACTGTCAAAACATACAGAGCATATCTAGCGTGAAATTTCGTACATCACTTTAACTTCATTGAACCCAAATTGCCCCAATTGAAATTTGTTGTGTAAAGCTACTTAAAATTGCACCAAGCCGCGCCTGACGTTTCGAGTTTAGTTGGAGTTTGAATAAATTTTGAGTGCTTCCGTAGAATGTGTACCAGGTTAGTGTTAGGCCATCATTTTTTTTCGATTTTCCTCATTTTAGTTCTATAACGAGTTCGGGGACTGTCTGTTTTAGCCAAGTGAATATACTCCCTGCCCACAGGCTTCAGTCTCTTTACAAAAATTGGTGTAAAGTAGGCGAACAAAATTAGTTACCTCCATATTGGTAAACATACTTCTGGAGCGCAAAAATTTGTTCTTGAAATTTGATTGTATAAAGACATTTTTAACTAATTCAAGTCGAAATACTTCGCGTTATTTTAATATAGTTTAGAGCTGGAGTGTCAAACTCAACTAAGCAGATATAAGCTTTTACCTAAATAAACTACAAAATAAACTAAGCAATAATTTTTTTACAATTCATGTGGGGCGGATAATACAGACTAGGTTTGCACAAGTTCATTGCTATCCAATCAATAAATCCATCATTTATTTTGGTTCTCTGACATAAACAATACAAAAAGTAAACGGACAAAACAAAATGCAGAAATACCTGCGAGACGGGCATAACTTAAAATAAAGTTAAAAGCGTACAATGTACGTGCCCGCCCACCAAAAAATATTGAACATTGGAAACATTAAAGTGCAACATTGCAGAAACAGTACTAAAATCCTAAATTGGTTCTATAGATGCATTGTTGTGATAAGTTTTTGAACAATACCAAATACATAAAATCTCAATAAGAGTGCTATGCAAGAATGACCATACTCCTTATCTAAAATTGCTAGCCATCATAGCAAGTTGCTGCTCAAAAAAGAACATAAATGAAGTGATGGTAGCTTACATGCTTGAAATGGCTGTGAATACAAAAAATCAAAAGAATGCCAATGTTAAAAGTAAGTGGCATGCTCTGTTTAATTTTTTTCTACGTTCTATCGAATCGAACCTCGAAATTGTTCTGGGTGGATGAAATCGCTAAACATGTAACTTTCATTTATGTTTCTATTTTTTTTCCATGAGGCCGAAATTTCAGTCAAAATTTGCTGTTTCATCTCAATTCACAGACAGAAACTCTTTTGCGTTACATATGAGAATATGTATGGCGATATGCAATATCATAAAATGAGCCAAATCCGTTCCGTCGCATAGGTTAAGATACCAACTAATATTTATTTTAGCAAGCAAAAATCAATTTAAAAAAAATTGAAGTACGGCGAGCAAAATGGTATACTGATATATATCAAAAAATTGATTAATGGTTTATAAACGCAGACAATGTCGACATTCGCCTTCTGATTTAAAAATATTGGATTTTTACTTCATTTTAAAAAGCAATCGTCTTTTTTACTAATAATATGCTTACTAGTCATGAATTGCATCTTTGTGATTTTACAAACAATTTTGCGACGATGATATGATGCAATTTTGTCGAGTTTGCATGGCCTGTCAAATAAACCAGTCGTTATTGTCATTGATTATGGCCCACTTAGTTAGTACCAAAATTGTTATGTGTAAGTCAGTTTTTCATTTTACATTGATATGATATCACAGTGGCCCTATTCACTAAGTGGTACTCCTGTAGTAGTATGCGATGGCGAATACCTGAACGTAGTATGTGTACCAGGTTAGGGTCAGGCCATAATTTTATTTAATTTTCCTAATTTAGTTCTATTACGAGTTTGGGGACTAGCCAAGTGACTCCCGTTGTAGTTGTACCTAAAATTATAGCCTAACCATATCATGGTACACATAAATACGTTTCGGTGTCCGCCATCTTGGTTCATATGCTACGGGAGTAACCACTAAATTGGGATCATAATTTGATAAAAATATCGGAATTTAAAATATCTGGGACCCAGATTTCACAGTTTGCACCCGGGTATCAATCGCGCACACAATTCAAATTGAGTATTATTTCCGCCGTGATCGTCACGTGACAAATAAACAAATATGCAGCGTTTTCAATTCCTTCAATTGTGGCAAAAAACTGTCTATGACATTTTGTGAGGTTTTTATATAAGTAGACGAGCACTCGTAAAATAGTCATACGGGGGTCAACATGCCATATTTTCACAATCAATAATTGATTCCCGTTAAATTTGTAAAAATTGCATGATAACGTAGTTCTTGACGATTGCATTTCTATTGATATCAGTGTTTTACTGTTTGTAAACAATATACCAGATAAAATATTTTTGAGTTATCGCAATGTATGATGGCCATTGGGCTTATCTTATTTAATAAACAAATGTGCAATCTGACGAGGAGTAGTGATTGAATCTTGCAAAATATGTTACGAAGGAGTTCGTCTTTCATTTCTTTTTTCATTTTAAGAAAGGACGGGATTATGTGTGAATACACAACGGCTATTGCTGAGATGACTTTCATTTTACTCATAAATACAAACTTTTGATACTTCAATGCAAAGAATATACTATTACACACAGATTTACACTAATGAGCTTGAAACAGTTTAATGTTCGAGAAATATTTTACATAGTCTCACTTAAAAACCGGATTTTGCGTGGGAACATGTTGTTGTTCCATTTTCGCTTAAGAAATTACAATGGTAGAGTTTTGTATGTTGAAACCTTGCCGCGGTGACGAGAACTGTGATTAAAATCCAAAAAACATATGGGCAGATAAATCAATGTTGTTGTCGGAAGCGAGTGATTGATTGCAATTTCACTTTTTACTTTTGATTGTATTTAGAGGTGATTCAATTTTGAGTAAATAACTAAAAAATCAAAAACATCAATTTTGATTTCAGATGCAGATTTTTCAAAATTATCATTTTTTATTTATTGATAAAAGAAGGTTCTTACTTGGATTGATGCAACTCAGTCCACATTCGTCATCACATATACATTTCTTTAGGTCACCTCTACAGCTCCGTTTTTTAGAACAAGCTCGCTTGCAAGTATATTTGTTTTCTCGCCGCCATTCGTCGTTTCTTGCGCAAACGACTGAAGCTAAGGATGAATGAAGGGGTGAAAATTAAATAAAACGGTAACAGTACTAAAAACTGATTCTGAGTAGCATAATGATAGTGTTCAAGTTTATTTTATTTTTTATATTGAATAATATGTTAAATTACGTTCTATTAATTTGATAATAATAAAAAATATGAAACTCAAGAACAAAAAAATACTTTGCAAAAATGAGTGGCAAAATATTTAGTTCACAATGTGACTGACTTACCGCAATATAATTCGTCTTCACCCCGACGGCAGTCATTTACTCCGTTGCAAAGTCTGGCTCTAGATATGCAAACTCCGTCTCCACAATTATATCTACCCGGACCCTCACATAAGGATGCTTGAGATGATCCTGTATTTGAAGTGGTATTTTATTGCAATTTACACGAATCATGTATGTTTTGTATTGAGAGAATGAGTATTATAATGTTAATAATCGATTGCGCATTTAGAGTGTTCTCCAAACCGTCAATATGGTAGATCAACAATAATGTTATTGAATATTAGTTTGGGTTGCAGTTTTTGCACTGCAATAAAATAAAATAAAAACTGTCAGACTAAGCAGGAGTCGAATGCAAACTTATACATTGCACAATCAACTATTTTTTCTTTGACTCCACACTACATTTTATCCATATTTAACAGGGTTTTAATTAAGTTGAGAAATAAGTTTATGATACACATTGAATTAATGAAATAAACCACTACGCATTGTAAACCGGTGTCATTTAATGAACCAAAGTCATTTGAGCAACCTTGCAAGCAATAGCAGTAGGCCAAACGAGTGATATACTTCTCTTATATTTCTGCAATGCCAGTGACGACTTGCATTTTTGAGATTTTATTAGATATAAATTTAAAACAAAAATATGCACTGAATAAAATAAGATTTCGTGTATCTTGTCCAATATATTGTAATGCACATAAAACGATTTAAAATATTGCTAACATTTCATCATACCAACATAAATATTAAACAATAATTCTTTAACAAAAATCACGTTTACAAAATTTTAAGATAACAATTATTTCCAAATTTTTTAATCATCTTTCCCAAACTGCGCAACTGAAATGTGCCATAGTTTTTTTGGGAATCCGCATTGTAGTATAATATATTTTGCCTATATTCAAATGCTTTTTTTTGTTTGTTTATAAAGTATGAATTAAGAAGGTATTACTACATTTTGAAACAGTTGCTGCTGTACGTTACAAAACTTTCGCGCAACATTGATTCCAATTGCTTCAAATTGTAAGGAAAACTAATACAGGAAACACTTGGTCAACAATCAAGTTGCTAATTATGGTAAACGCTAGTAGTCTAAATACTTCAGAATTTTCATTTGTTTTCCGAACTCGCAATATTTTTTGAATCTTTTTACTGGGCTGTTAATTAAAAATAAAATTAATGTGTTACAACGTGGAACAATTACTAATATGACTAATTTAGTTAGAATTTCTGGTGATGCGAATTTGATAAACTGCTTATCTTGAGTTCATTTTCCAACTATTCGAAACCTTACTGGCTATAAAAAATAATGTAATTCCTACCAAATTTTACGACGGTAACTTTATCAAGGTAACTCGAAAGTTGATGAGAATCTTCTAAATAAATATAATTTTGTCCCTTTTTTCCAGATGAGAACCCAAGCAATTCTGCATGACTTTCAACGTGGCAACTCTTGCAAGCTGTTATGCTGTAGAACTTAGCAAATGAAATTATATTTTTCCAACGGTCTGATTTGATACTTATCAGAATATTAAATGGAAATCATGGAGAAAATTTGAACATGCCGACAAAGAGAATTGGAGAATTGAACGATGGCACAATCATGTTCATTTCATGAATAACTATCATGGTATTACTAAATAGGAAATTTCAGTAGTAAGTTTCGGGTTGATCTGAATTGTAGCACAAATTTTTCAACTTTTATTCCGTTTCTATTCGTTTTTAGATTGGGCAAACCACATGAAACAAGTACATCGTATTTCAATCATTTGCAAACAAAATTTAAAAAAATTGATCTGAAAAAAAAATTATTTTTTTAGAAGCCTTCCAATAAGATAAATGTATTAATATTAAGTTTCACTGAATATTGTATAAATATTGCAGACTCTATCAGAATCAGCGAAACAACTACAAAGTATTGCATACTTCAATATTCGGTTTGAATTGATATTCTATCATTTTTCTGTTGCGGACGGGATCATATCCTTCTGTGTAATTTCCTGAATAAAATAACATATTTATACATACATTTATTGTAAATTAGTTTCATCGTAAAATCACAAATAATATTATTTTAATTTAACAAGTCACAAAAGATATTGTATCCTGCAAACTGAGATTATTCCTTTAATATATGCGATTACTTAAGGTTTCTCTTTTCAATGAATGTAGCCCATGTTTAATGATTGCCTTGCCTCTTTAAGCATCCTGAGTTTCGATCTCTAATTTTTGATCGTTTTCCATAAAAACCTAAACAATGAAGTAATCTTCTTGCATTATGCCCTATAACCTCATTACTTTACCGTCGGTGAAAATGAAAACATGTCTAGTAATTTTATTGTTTTCTTCTTGCATGTCCATCCAATGAATCACTTTTACAAGTTGCGACAAGGCATAGGTGAATGCATTTTTGGATCGTTTTTTCTTCTCGTAATTGTTGCGAGCAGCTGAAAGGTATATATATATATATATTAAATTTTAATATACTGACGAGTTCTATTAAAATTTTTGGACTAGGTTCTTGCAGCAGGAAGGAACCCGCGCCAAACAGATCGTTCAGACTTGCTAACATATTACATTAGTTTGGTTAGTAATATGAGGTCAAAGCCAACAATTAAGTTGAACAGACCGAATTAATCGATCATCAACAAAAAAGCGATATTTAAGATATGTACCTTCTTGGTAAACTCGGTCTAAAGTTTCTAATATCTGCTTTGTACTTTTCGGTCTAGTTGTACTTTCAGAAATATCTAACATCGTCTCATTTTCAGATTCAAAAAGCATTATTCCAAAATGTATTTTTCCATTGAATCCTTCCATCTTAATTAAAATGATTCAAATTCGAGAAAAATATGTTTGCCAATACAGTGTCTGACAACGATGGTTAATCTTTCCTTTGGAGTAGAGAGTAAAAAGAGTATATATATAATCCATTTTAATGAAAATTCAGGAAATTTGATTATTTCTAAAGTTGCATTCTGCCACGGAGCCTCGTTAGGGGTCACGCCACGGATTGTACACTGTATAACTTGGATAGGAGTTTACAACGTGATGTCATATTCTTTGAGCATCAAAAACATCAATTAGTTTTTGACTTTATTTTAACTAGCATCTAACTCTTCAAAACGCTTTGTTATAAATTTTGACTGATATGCATAATGCAAATTGATTCCTTGCAGTCACATTTTATACACTCGCTCAACATCAAGTCCCAAATAACTTTGAATGAAAATCTTGTCAAAATTCCTGACATTAAAATCTAACTGTAGTGATAGTGCTGCTAAATTGTTTAGTCTACAATTGAAGTTTACTTTAATTTACCCGTCTAACAAGTCGCTTTGCAAATTCTATTTCGTCTTTTACATCTTTCGATCGTTTCAGAACGCTTTCTGAAACATCGAACATGAAGTAAATTTCTGCGTTGATGATCACGTCTTCAGCAGTATGAGGATATCTAGGATCTATAATGATGAAACAAGCTCTTACTATGAAAGCTGTTGCAAATTTCACGACAAATATTTCTCAAGGATAGTATTGAAGAAATTGTTGAGAATGAGGGAGAATTTTCTGGCCCGATATCTTTTTGAGAATTTCATTATTTTTTTTTCAATTATTCTCGACCAAGATTTACATAAATGTATCACATATTATATACATGTATGATATCAACTATTTTATCAACCACATTTTTCTAATACACTATTTACCTACATAAGCATCATATTAAACAATTATGAATTCAACACATACTTTGTATCAAAGTCGATTGCTTATGATGTGCAATTTAAAAAAATAATAAATGAATTGTTAATTTTCTGAATCATATTACGCAAGATATTTGAAGTCAAAGGAAATTTTACCAACGCAGGTAGGAGCTATTCCCGTTCCAGACCATTTTTCCATCCATAAACATGTTTGTTCTTCATCTCCATATAAAACGTAACCGAAATCACAACGAAATCTGACTGTGGATCCGATTGTAAAATCATCTCCTATTAGTCTTCCATTGATTGGAACTCCGGGATGAGGGCACCGTTCTACTCTGTCTAAAATGTTATTACGTTTAATTGTAATTGTAAAATGAAAATGCTAGAGATTAGGAATTTATCCGGTGACAACAAAAGGTAATCCCGAAGTATGTGAATTAAGATGGCGGACTCCGGAATGTAGTATGTGTACCAGGTTAGGGTTAGGTCATAATTTTATTCCAATTTTTCTTATTTTAGTTATAGTACGAGTTTTTATACTAGCCAGGTGACTTCCGTAGTAGTTGTACCTGAAACTGTGGCCTAAACATAACCTGGTACTTATACTACGTCCCGGTGTCCGTCATCTTGGTTCACTTACTTCGGGAGTACACAATAAAATTCCCTTTGTAAATCTGCACATGTAATTGAAGTACGATAAAATGTAAGTGTAAACTCACACTCTAGCATAATAATTCTCATATAAAAGTATTCAACGGTTCAAGAGTAAAAAGTATGGCTTTGTTGTAACAAACCGCAAAGTTAGACTATGTAGTTTCTCGTAATTTATTCCTTACCTCGCAGATCACATATTGTCAGTGGTCCACTCCATTTACCATTTCCTAAACAAGTTCGGTTTTTAGCTCCAAGCATTCTATAATCCCCAGGACATCGGAATTTTATTACTGCTCTCACATGTGTTCCACCGTAAAGTTTGACAGATCCTCCGGTTTCCTGTATGCTCGTACTGGGGTCGCCACATTTTACAGCTAAATTAGGAGAATGATGTCACTTTTAGAGCAATTCTAAACATTTTTTTTGAATGATTTCGAAATAGTATAGTACATTTAAAATCGTCCAAAGTAGAAATCAATTTATGTGAATAGGATTTCTAGATGAATGTAAAAAAAATCTAATATTGGCACAAAAATCCCTCTGGTGTTAAATGAAAATTGATGTTTTGGAATAGATTACTACTAATTTATTGTGAACATAACAGGTGTTTACAACATGTATATATAAATGGTGACCATTTTAAATATACATACGCAAGCAAATAGGTTCGTCTCCAATCCACAACCCCGACCCTGAACAGTAAAGAGAGCGAGATCCATAGGCCAAGTAATATCCGTAATCACAGGAATATCTGGCAACTTTACGTATTGCAGATCCGGTGTAATTAACGGTAGCGTGCCGTACATCGGGTGCTCCACGACAGGTAATATCTAAAAATTTACAGAAGTATTGAATCAATTACCCTTTAATAATCAAAAATATTATTTTAAATTTTATTTGGATTATATAATCTAAATAGAATACACGTTTCATTATCATATATATGTATAATAGATATTTTAGAATGTCCATAAATCAAGCACTACTAACTACTAGCTTTGTATCTTTGTGGATATTTCAAACATTCCAGGTGAAATACACAAAAACACCATTTTCCATACAATGTATATATTTTTAGGTAATTCCGAGGTATGTAGGCCAATATGGCGGATACCGAAACGTATTATTTGTACCAGGTTATGGTTAGGTCATAATTTTATTCCAATTTTCCCTATTTTATTTCTATTACGAGTTCGGGGACTAGCCAAATGACTCCCGTAGTGTTTGTACCTTAAATTATGGCCTAACCAGGGATGGCCAATACCGAATAGTTTACTATTTCGAATACATTCCAAATTTATTTTATTTGAATATGAAATTTCGAATACTTCGAAAATAAAATCCACTAATTGAAGCTTATCTAAATGTATGTAGGAATTTCCATACAATAAGCAATGAAATAACTGCTATCTACAAGTTACAACCTAGCTATATTACCAGGCATTTCATATTTGCAGATTATTGCAGTATATATTTTATATACCATGAGTCATGTTAACAGAATTAAATTAATACCACAATAGGGGTATCGATGATGAATTTGAAAGTACGAGTTATTTTCTCCGACTCGTGACACTTTTTTCGTGAGTACAAAAATATAAATTAAAAATTAGTTATATTCGGAACTTTACCACACATTTTAAATCCGCAGATCGCCGTTGTATGTTTGAGTAACAATACTTTTATTATTTCATAAATATGAAAATAGGAATCAAAAGCTATTTATAATCGGGTAGTTTACCACACATTCTAAGTCCACAGATCGCCGTTGTATTTTGTAAATACGAAAATAGGAATCAAAAACTAATATTAATCGCGAGTTTGCCACACAATTTATGTCCACAGATTGCCGTGATATTATGCCGAATATAATTAGTTTTTGATTCTTATTTTCGTACTCACGAAAAAATTGTCACAAATCGGAAAAAGAATTTTGGGAACTAATTTGGATAATGGTTGCCATTGGTTTGTATTTAAAAGTATGGACTTTTTACTAGGATGATTTTGTGCTGCGCAAAATATTCGAATCCATGACCGATACCACTATTTTAAATGCCTTACCGTGTTAATTTAATTCTATTATCATAATTCAAATGTTGGTAAATCGGGCAGTTTACCACACATTTTAAGGCCACAGATCGCCGTTGCATTTTGGAATGATAATAGTTTTATTATTTTGTAAATACGAATCCGAAACTAATTATAATTGGGCAGTTTACCACGGATTTCATGTCCACAAATACCCGTGGTATTTGGTATCAATACTTTCATTATTTTATCAATATGAAAATAGGAATAAATATTTTATAATATCGGTCAGTTTACCACACATTTTAAGTCCACAGATTGTCGATACAACCATGAGCTACGTTGAACAGACTTAAATTAATAGGGCGTGGCATTTTAAATGCTGGTACAAGTCATGGATTGGATTATTTTGCGCAACAAAAAATCATCCCTGTTGTTCAGTTATGCTGCTATGCGCTAATAATTTTATATGTTTAGAACCAGATCATGTTAGTTTGGTAGAATCATACTCACAGAATTAACTATTTTTAACAATTGAGCGGTAAATTTAGGTTGTAGAGCGGCAATCATTTTGAACAACCTATTAACCCGAATGTTGAAATAATTTTGGAATGTGATAAGTATTACACTGTACGTCCACGGGTTATTTCACAGCTGTGTTTTCCTGTCCCTGTCGTGTTCTGCTGAATCGGCAAAATGAAAGAGTCACAAATCACTTTATCTCGGTGGCCGTGTTTCTCTTTAAAGTAACGATAACCGGCCTGCGATTAAATATCATGATTGGCAGACCCTAATACCCAGCAACTGATTACCCGGGAAATACGGTAATTGTCAATTTTTCGACGTAATGGAAATGAATTTGTATATTAAAAGCCTCGTAGACGGATGTCGGCAATGTCCACCCACGCAAACGTGCAAATGTGTCGCAACACTATGCGACGTACGGTCGCACATAATATAAACAATCAAAGTGCCGATTCTATTCTGCCGACATCGTCATTACAATACGTGAGACAGCGTAAAAAGTCGTTTGAAGATTCCCGTAAAACGAAACACCACGTTTACGGCGAAAAGTGGCTACTATTCGGAATTATTCGAAAATCAGCCGAAAAGGTATTCGAATACTTCGATATTCGAATATTCGATTCGTTTTGGACAACCCTGGGCCTAACCCTAACCCGGTACACATACTCCGTTCGATGTGCGTAATCTTGGTCCACATACTTCAAGAGTACCTATTTTTTACTTAAATTGTTTCATTATTTTCAAAATAATAGTAGGTCCACTCCCGCAAATTGAATACTTTTTTCTCTTATCCTACTTAGACTGACCCCCTTTTAAACATTTACACTAAAAAATCACATTTTTATGAGATCTACCTGAACATGGTAAACGTGTGGGAAATCGTGACAAGTTATTGAGGGTGGCCATGTGCCCTGCTTTAGCTAGTTTATATTTCAATACTTGCACTATTCGCACCTTTGTACCACTTTATCTCACGGTTATCACTCTCCTTATAATTCATACATTTCAGACATTTATGTCAAGAGCGGCATTTTCACTGCTTGAACATGGCAAAATGGTAATATGAGATGAAGATGGTTTAAGTAAATAGTACAAATAGTATTTGGCGTAAACGGCATATATGGTGCGCGGGGTTCAAGTAGACATTGAGACTAAACGTATCAACGATACAAGTGTAAAAACTAATGCTTTGATACATATTGGTGTATAAACTGAGACAAATCCAGTTCTTTACAACAACACGACTTTCCCAGAATGAGTGAAGTGAGAATGGGGCATTATCGTAAGTTATACTGTGGTTGTATACGACCGACGTTCGCAGAACTTAAAGTGTTTCGGTCGTGATTTATTGCAGATATATACTTTGAAAATATTACTCACTCGGATCAACGCAAACTCGAGAACAAGGTCCATCACAAAAGCATTCCATACCCATGCCACATTCATTGGTTGTAATGCAACTACTTCCACATGTTAAACGATATTTTGATATCAATTCCGGGTCAGGTTTCCCAAAGCAAGGTACTGTATATTTGAAAAATGCAATATTTCAGTGATACATGATATAATGATCACTGATTAATGATGAAATATAACACAATAAGGAGCAAATGACTGTAATTGAGCTAATATTCATCTGCACCGTTTTCTGCCCTCATCATGGCTTTGCTCCGACAAACAACCGCAATACTGTGTATTACTGCATTATACTAATTTGTTCTATGCCTAGAATTCTATCACACAAGGGCTCACACACGGGAGTAATGAGATATAGACTGATATATAAGATTCATACCAACACATTGCAAGGTGTGGGCTGACCACATGCCATTTTCAACACATTCTGGAGGTTCACCCGTGAGCAATAATCCATCCTCGCATGTGTATTCAACCACGTCATTCAAGACAGGAAGTGTCTTATTCGACACTGGCAACATTCTTCCGTTGGACGGTCTCGAATACCGATGATATATTGTATGCCTTACGTAGGGGACAGGATTTTGGCATGACATATCTATAAAAATAATGTCAGGCTGTACTGTTGTATTGGTATTGAGTTATTTTCTAACTTTATTGATTTTTTATTATTCAAATCTGATACTCTGGGTATAACACGATGTTTTGCTGATATAGCATATCATCAGATACAATAATTATGGCGTCACGCAGTGTAAACTCAGGCCACAAATTTGTACCACAGTATAAATATGTGAATTATGTAAGGATTGAGCAAAATCTTAGTTAGTCTAGTACTCTAGGCTAGAGTATTAACACTGTAAAAATGGTGCAAATGTAAATATGAATTTAACGCTATAAAATGCTTTCATTATTTTCAATTCTTTAGATTTAATCATCACTCCATCCATTATTACAAATTTAAACTCAAACTGTAAACTCAAACAATTGGAAAAGTTATCAAGATCAACACTTCCGCTTTGTGTTACATTATTTCTGTATTAATTTATTTATTTTATGTGTACCTACGCACTCCGGAACATCACTGGTCCAACGTCGATGCCCACCGCATCTCGGTAGAGGGCCAACTAAACGTCGTCCACGTTCACATGTGTAAGTTATCATGTCCCACAAGTAATAAGGAGGTCTTACTTGATCGACAATTGCTAGACGCTTGAAACCGTTTGCGGTTATAATTGTTCGCCTTATATTCCGGTACACCGCGTGTTCTACAGTTGGTGGTTCGTCTTCACATACTGAATCTGCCGAAATTTAAAACATGCATATAATAAACTTTTGTCTACAAGCTATGACATCACACTTCACGGCAGTATTCACCAAAAGACTGTCAAAACATACAGAGCATATCTAGCGTGAAATTTCGTACATCACTTTAACTTCATTGAACCCAAATTGCCCCAATTGAAATTTGTTGTGTAAAGCTACTTAAAATTGCCCCAAGCCGCGCCTGACGTTTCGAGTTTGGTTGGAGTTTGAATAAATTTTGAGTGCTTCCGTAGAATGTGTACCAGGTTAATGTTAGGCCATCATTTTATTCCGATTTTCCTCATTTTAGTTCTATAACGAGTTCGGGGACTGTCTGTTTTAGCCAAGTGAATATACTCCCTGCCCATAGGCTTCAGTCTCTTTACAAAAATTGGTGTAAAGTAGGCGAACAAAATTAGTTACCTCCATATTGGTAAACATACTTCTGGAGCGCAAAAATTTGTTCTTAAAATTTGATTGTATAAAGACATTTTTAACTAATTCAAGTCGAAATACTTACAATTCATGTGGGGCGGATAATACAGACTAGGTTTGCACAAGTTCATTGCTATTCAATCAATAAATCCATCATTTAGTTTAGTTCTCTGACATAAACAATACAAAAAGTAAACGGACAAAACAAAATGCAGAAATACCTGCGAGGCGGGCATAACTTAAAATAAAGTTAAAAGCGTACAATGTACGTGCCCGCCCACCAAAAAATATTGAACATTGGAAACATGAAAGTGCAACATTGCAGAAACAGTACTAAAATCCTAAATTGGTTCTATAGATGCATTGTTGTGATAAGTTTGTGAACAATACCAAATACAGAAAATCTCAATAATAGTGCTATGCAAGAAGGACCATACTCCTTATCTAAAATTGCTAGCCATCATAGCAAGTTGCTGCTCAAAAAAGAACATAAATGAAGTGATGGTAGCTTACATGCTTGAAATGGTTGTGAATACAAAAAATCAAAAGAATGCCAATGTTAAAAGTAAGTGGCATGCTTTGTTTAATTTTTTTCTACGTTCTATCGAATCGAACCTCCGTTTGGAAATTGTACTGGGTGGATGAAATCGCTAAACATGTAACTTTCATTTATGTTTCTATTTTTTTTCCATGAGGTCGAAATTTCAGTCAAAATTTGCTGTTTCATCTCAATTCACAGACAGAAACTCTTTTGCGTTACATATGAGAATATGTATGGCGATATGCAATATCATAAAATGAGCCAAATCCGTCCCGTCGCATAGGTTAAGATACCAACTAATATTTATTTTAGCAAGCAAAAATCAATCTTAAAAAAATTGAAGTACGGCGAGCAAAATGGTATACTGATATATATCAAAAAATTGATTAATGGTTTATAAACGCAGACAATGTCGACATTCGCCTTCTGATTAAAAAATATTGGATTTTTAATTCATTTTAAAAAGCAATCGTCTTTTTTACTAATAATATGCTTACTAGTCATGAATTGCATCTTTGTGATTTTACAAACAATTTTGCGACGATGATATGATGCAATTTTGTCGAGTTTGCATGGCCTGTCAAATAAACCAGTCGTTATTGTCATTGATTATGGCCCACTTAGTTAGTACCAAAATTGTTATGTGTAAGTCAGTTTTTCATTTTACATTGATATGATATCACAGTGGCCCTATTCACTAAGTGGTACTCCTGTAGTAGTATGCGATGGCGAATACCTGAACGTAGTATGTGTACCAGGTTAGGGTCAGGCCATAATTTTATTCAATTTTCCTAATTTAGTTCTATTACGAGTTTGGGGTCTAGCCAAGTGACTCCCGTTATAGTTGTACCTAAAATTATAGCCTAACCATATCATGGTACACATAAATACGTTTCGGTGTCCGCCATCTTGGTTCATATGCTACGGGAGTAACCACTAAATTGGGATCATAATTTAATAAAAATATCGGAATTTAAAATATCTGGGACCCAGATTTCACAGTTTGCACCCGGGTATCAATCGCGCACACAATTCAAATTGAGTATTATTTCCGCAGTGATCGTCACGTGACAAATAAACAAATATGCAGCGTTTTCAATTCCTTCAATTGTGGCAAAAAACTGTCTATGACATTTTGTGAGGTTTTTATATAAGTAGACGAGCACTCGTAAAATAGTCATACGGGGGTCAACATGCCATATTTTCACAATCAATAATTGATTCCCCTTAAATTTGTAAAAATTGCATGATAACGTAGTTCTTGACGATTGCATTTCTATTGATATCAGTGTTTTACTGTTTGTAAACAATATACCAGATAAAATATTTTTGAGTAACGCAATGTATGATGGCCATTGGGCTTATCTTATTTAATAAACAAATGTGCAATCTGACGAGGAGTAGTGATTGAATCTTGCAAAATATGTTACGAAGGAGTTCGTCTTTCATTTCTTTTTTCATTTTAAGAAAGGACGGGATTATGTGTGAATACACAACGGCTATTGCTGAGATGACTTTCATATTACTCATAAATACAAACTTTTGATACTTCAATGCAAAGAATATACTATTACACACAGATTTACACTAATGAGCTTGAAACAGTTTAATGTTCGAGAAATATTTTACATAGTCTCACTTAAAAACCGGATTTTGCGTGGGAACATGTTGTTGTTCCATTTTCGCTTAAGGAATTACGATGGTAGAGTTTTGTATGTTGAAACCTTGCCGCGGTGACGAGAACTGTGATTAAAATCCAAAAAACATATGGGCAGATAAATCAATGTTGTTGTCGGAAGCGAGTGATTGATTGCAATTTCACTTTTTACTTTTGATTGTATTTAGAGGTGATTCAATTTTGAGTAAATAACTAAAAAATCAAAAACATCAATTTTGATTTCAGATGCAGATTTTTCAAAATTATCATTTTTTATTTATTGATAAAAGAAAGTTCTTACTTGGATTGATGCAACTCAGTCCACATTCGTCATCACATATACATTTCTTTAGGTCACCTCTACAGCTCCGTTTTTTAGAACAAGCTCGCTTGCAAGTATATTTGTTTTCTCGCCGCCATTCGTCGTTTCTTGCGCAAACGACTGGAGCTAAGGATGAATGAAGGGGTGAAAATTAAATAAAACGGTAACAGTACTAAAAACTGATTCTGAGTAGCATAATGATAGTGTTCAAGTTTATTTTATTTTTTATATTGAATAATATGTTAAATTACGTTCTATTAATTTGATAATAATAAAAAATATGAAACTCAAGAACAAAAAAATACTTTGCAAAAATGAGTGGCAAAATATTTAGTTCACAATGTGACTGACTTACCGCAATATAATTCGTCTTCACCCCGACGGCAGTCTTTTACTCCGTTGCAAAGTCTGGCTCTAGATATGCAAACTCCGTCTCCACAATTATATCTACCCGGACCCTCACATAATGATGCTTGAGATGATCCTGTATTTGAAGTGGTATTTTATTGCAATTTACACGAATCATGTATGTTTTGTATTAAGAGAATGAGTATTATAATGTTAATAATCGATTGCGCATTTAGAGTGTTCTCCAACCCGTCAATATGGTAGATCAACAATAATGTTATTAAATATTAGTTTGGGTTGCAGTTTTTGCACTGCAATAAAATAAAATAAAAACTGTCAGACTAAGCAGGAGTCGAATGCAAACTCATACATTGCACAATCAACTATTTTTTCTTTGACTCCACACTAC